GAGTTTACAGAGAATGATCAAAAAAGCAGCGACCAGACGCTGACATAGTGCGCAATCGTATTGCTAGAACAGTGGTCGTAAAATCACAATCCTAATTCCAGAACATGGTCACAGTGTTTGAGCTCGTCTTATGTGCGGGAATGGCAGTTCTGTAAGTGTGAATCCCTTGTTGATGAAAATGGTCAGAGGGGAACGAACAGAGTCGTTCAAATGTAGCGAAAATAATCACTCTTTAGAAAGGATAGCGGCTGGATATGAGGAATTGGAGAGCCGAGTTCTAATTCACATTACCATCACTTACAGTATGAATCTATCTCCCCCGCCCCCAAGCTCTAGGTAAAATAGCAGGACAGACTTAGTCCTATAGCTTTGGGTGGCAACCAGTCTAGGAAAAGGAACCTCCTACTCGTCAAAGGCTAGAAGAATGTAACTTTAAAAACAAATACACCTCGCATGTCGTCTTGAAAAAAGGGACTGCCCTTCCCATTTCTGCGACAGAAAATAATGGACTCTTCGGATTTAATATAATGGTTCGAACAAACACAGAACTGGGACACAGCATGTGGACCTCTCCGATTTCGGACCATTCGAAATCCATGACACTTTAGAGGGTGACGGCAAGGGGGTGGGTATATACAGAAGAACCTTTTGGAACGTACAGCATGTCGATTTTTGAAGCCGGTGAGCTACAACAGTTCGACTCTTGTGAGATGAGAACAAGAAACCGAGGCTAGTGATGAGGACAGTATCCAAGCTATTAAAAAAGCTAGGGAATAATAAAGCATTACTAGATATTGATAGTGAAATTATACACATAGCTTTCTCCCCGGATTTAATAACAAGTTTCTCAATTTTATAAAGGAAGAACCACATTTCCAAAATTCGGGATTTACTGTACAATAATGCACTACAGAAACAAAAAGGTAGTCCTTAAGACCCAGACACATACAGAAGTATCGTGACTTTCAAGCGAGAGCAGCACTGGCTACCGGTCAATGAGTACTGAATGTTTCCTTATAAGGAAACGGCTAATATTATCATTACCTGCTTAAATTATTATGATGGATTCTCCAATTGGTTTTGACGTATAATGACCGATTAATTCAGCTTCGACCTGAACTGCTGGTAGTCTAACGCAAATGGTTTGATTGTAATGTTGAAGACTTGTTTAGAATCGTCCACACTTTTTGGAATAACTGATAACAATGAAGGCAAGAAGAACAGAAGAAAACAACGCATAACCTACTTAGTGAGATTGAATAAATGGATGGCGTAACAAGGTTTAGGAGAAATAACAAAAAGACAATATATATTAAGAGCTCCGAAGGACAGGGAGTTGTGGATAGTCATGACTGCCTACGGCCTGAAGGGACACGGCATATACAGAAGAAGCAGCTGACGATAATTCAATTAATGATTACATAAGCGTGCCAGGTAAACCTATATGACGCCATTCGTGGCGAAATTGTGACGAGTTTTGTGACAACGTTCTGCGATCGTTCGTTGCTCACTGCACATGTGATGACATCCAAGGTTATATGCATTTGCATATACACCCAACTCACTATGTACACAGGTAAGTCTTGGCCGTGATCGCTTTTAACAAATAGAATGAAGTCGATTGTTTTTCAATACTCTCTGGTTCAGAACTAGCAACAACACGATTTCTTACTTAAACGTGGGATCCTTCCTTCAGCTTCAAGAGGGGTGGGGGCTGCTATCTTCCTAAGTCCACTGGCCTCGGCAACTCCTGATTGCTCACTCCCAGTCCTTCTGTCACTGCCGCTGGGCAGGTCTCACTTCTCTGATCACCTACCTACATTTCTCACGTCTCTGTCTTCCTGCATCTCTCTACTTATATGGATAATCCTGGTGTCCCAACCCCTCCATCCATTTGTCTTCCTGGAGATTTGGAACCACATCAAAGCCACATGGGTAGTCAAATCTTCAAAGGACTAATTTTATGACTGTCGAAAATCACTTATAAATTTTTTTTATGTTTCCCAATTCGAAGGCAGCTGTAAACATAAATCCCCCATAAATTAAATTTACTCAAACATGGAGGGGAAACAAAATCCCTACGAAATTCAGATAAAGTGGACTTAAAAGAAAAGAAATTATCTCAATATCTTCTAAAAATGTGTGAGAAATCATATTGTTACACCTATAGAGGCTTATCTGCATTTTATTTCATGACTGTATCTGGGAAGACAGCGATTCATCTACCTGACAAGCTTATGCTCATGGATGACATAACTGGAGGTCGGAGAGATGGCAAAGGGGAAAACATTGCTAAGAGATACAAGGGAGAATAAGTTGTGGAGAGCCACAACCTGAATAAACATAGAAGAAGATAACAATGATACAATGTAGATTGTGTCACAACTTCTCTGTGTATTTGTCTATATTTCTGTGGATGAGGTATTGTAATTATTTACATTGCTGAGACTGTGGTCTTTATTGCAATATTCACCACGTTTCTGCCGTTGTACGCTCCGGCCTTCTTCAGGTGATTTGAATTTCGAACTCCACTATTTATTTCGTTCATCGAGGAAGGATTTTAGGAGAACAAGGACACATGGCCCAGTGGATAAAAGCGTTGGCCGGATCCAGTGACTTGTAAGTGTAAATTCAATATCTGGCTACTGCAGTGGTGAACAAAAACTTTGAGTTGAGTTAAAGGGAGACATCCGAAGGAGGTATGGCACGTGGAATCAGAACAATCTACCCCGCTGAACGAAATAAAGGGTTCACGTTGAAATTACAATCACCTGAAGAAGGCCGAAACGTGCAACAACTGAAAACTCGTGAATATGGCAATAAAGATGAGAACAACAGTCCGAACAATGTAAATAATGTAAATTCTTCGAGTATTTCTCCTCATGTTTTCTTGTCATGGAATTTAACTTCTCTGGAATAATATCAAATCGGAGGGAGAGAAACATGTTTTTTTTTTGGGGGGGGGGTAATCAGTATGTCTTCTTTCTCTAAGGCTGGTTACTAAACATGGTAAAGTGTCCAGCCAGGTCTGCGATTTAAACTATAGCAGGAGGTCGATGGAATTATATTTTTTCTAATGGTATTTTAATTAAAAAAAAAAAAATTTAGAACAACAAAAGAATTACGGGAATTTGAATTCGCTTCGCTGGCGCCACTTTTCACGTCGCTAACTATTTCGCAACCCGTACGAGAACACAGATATAGGCATTACACAAATGCAATTTACAGGCGGAAAACAAAACTGACACAATGTTAGACAGTTCATGAACACCATTCTCTGAGCATGACAAAAATGCAGAATGACAAATACTTCTATTGAATTTATTTGCGCACATGTTTATCCGAGCAGGTAACCAATTACTGTAATTTTTTTGAAAAATGAGAAGAAAAACATATTTCTTATTAAAATGCAGTCATACTTATTTGGCTCAGCATGCCTCACCCAAAATTCATTCTTTTCTAAATAGCTTTGCAACGTTAACACCCAAAGTAGTGCGAGACACCATAAAGTCTAGTAAGAAATTACAATAAATATACATATATATAATGACAGTATCCAAATACACCATTACCACTTTGCAGTAAAGTAAATTTTATTTTAAACCAAACAACGGGAGATTATTATTTCTAACGCAACACTGCACAATCAAAACGGATATTAATATTTATGACCAAATTCTATACCATTGGGATTGTGCTGCCACAAAATTAAATATGTTACTTTCCAAAAATGAGTAGCCACTTATGAAGCAAGTTTACGTGTTTGGCGTGACGACCTTTGTTTTCTATTACTGCTTGTAGTCATAACGGACATTGACTCCAATAGATTTTGAAAAAGCCTTGCAACGCGAACATCCAAATTAGTGTGAGAAAGCATTAAGTCTGAAAGAATTACAATAAATATACATATATACTATGACAAACACTATCCAAAACACTAGTTCGTAATAAAAAGTAAATTTTAGTAGTATTTTATTATTTCTAATGGAGCATTACATAATGAAAACGGATATTATATATTTATGACCAAAATCCATAGCTCTGGGATTATGTTACGACAAAACTGAACATTTTGCTTTCCAAAAATAAGTACACTCTAATGGAGAAGACCTACGTAAAAATCAGTACTTGTTGTGGCCGGCTTTATTTTCTATTAGTGCTTGAAATCCCAAGAATTAATTCTTGGGATTTCTTACTCTTGAGCATTTAGAATTTTAAGTTAAGAATTTTTCTTCAAAAAATATTGTTTAACATGAAGTCCTATTAAATTAAATTAAATTAAATTAATCAAATTGTTAAACTGCGGAGTAGGGTTTTTGCCAAAGTATAAACAAATCATTGGTTTGCGAAATTGAACGAAATCTCGGAAAAAATGTTAGCGATAATTTCAACAATACTAAATATATGAGGAGTTCAACACGCTGACGAATGTTGCAAAAAATTCTAGTAGAAAGCAACTTTTCTTTTAAACTATACATTACGATTTTTATTATTGTTTAGTGATATATTACACAACGAAAAGGAATATTATATACTTATGCACAAAGTCCACTACACTGACACTCACTCCCTCGAGTACCGTAGACTCCCTGAGGAATGTGGGTCTTCAGCTCTCAAGCCCGTTGACTCCCTGATGAATATGTGGGCCACAGCTATCAAACCCCGTTGACTCGGCGAGAAGTATGGAAGCCACAGCACCCAGAACGCTATGCATTGCTGGTATGGTTTCCATAGAAAGTAGTAAAATTTTACAGGATGAAGTTGCTAGCCCCGTGCCCAACCGATTTTGAATTCAGAGTTATCCTTCTCCTAGACTAGTTAACAAACACGGGTAAATATTGTATTAGCCTGTCCAACTATTTAACCTATTGATGGTGGAGAGAAAAAGCGTACATTTCCCAAGGGTATTAGCGCGTAAGTGAAAATAACTGAAATTCGAACTCGGTTCTCTAATTTTTCAATCCGAGCCCATTTCCACTACACCACCTGCACATCCAAGTTTACAGCATCTTGTATTCCTAAGTGGTCACCCATCTAAGTACAGACCAGGCTCGACGTTACCTAACTTCGGTGATCGGACGAAAACTGGCATTTCAAAGCAATATGGCCGTAAACCGGTGTATGTGTGTGTATATATGTTTATGTGTGTGTGTGTGTGATTGTATGTACTGACGTAATTGCTATAATCCTGTGAGATATGGGTTGTGTACCGCAGACACTTAGATGCCCCAGAATGATTCCAACAACGCTGTTAAAGATCGATTCTTACTATCCACTGGATATCCCACACGCCAGATACTGTGGTCCTTGAAAAGGGTAATACAATCAGCAACGAAGCGCATGTTCATTGACAAAGGCTTCGCTGGACAGGCCATATCATTCGCCTTGAAGACTGTAGAATACCCAGACAAATACTGTACAGCGATCTGCTGTACGACACTCGATTCCAGCATAAACCAAGGAAGGACTAAAACTGTTATTTGTGATCTAAATAAATGGAGGCGTATAATTTATTAAGACAGTAAGATATTCCAAGAATATTTAATGAGTTAAGCAAATTTCATGCGTGCAGCAAGGAAAGGGGAAATCCTTCATCCAGCAATCCAGCAATTTACATGTGATGAATGTGATGTCACTCCAATGCAGGCCACATTAGCCACAAAATGTCATATTAATAGACCTTTCACAAACTACGTTCACTTCTGGAAATAACATGCAGGGTGTGTCAAAAACCTTGCAGAAGCCATGTCACATGAAAACCCTTCAACGACGTGAACAGAATTTCCAAAACAGGCTAGATCCTGTACAAAACATGGGGGTCACGAAGCAGTACAACGTATATGTCACTGGATAATTATGTGATGAGCTGAATCAGAATCGAAACAAGTATAACCATGTCTCATCGGATCAGGCAATACATTGCCCGTCCTCCAATATCCAATTAACGACATCAGGAGGCTTAGTGAGGCGCTGTATGCAGTTTTGTAGTATTAACGTGTGGAGGGTCTGCTGTTACCATATAAACCATGAAGGCTAAACAACGCTGAAAAGGATTGACGGTTATACGTCCGGTTTCTTCTGCATCGAATGTTGATGTCATTTGAGTTAGTGTCGCTTATCTGTCACTACAATCTATTCTAGCCAGACATCTCTGGTCAACATAATTAAGTATATGTTGTTGGCCACTGTGTTGTCCCTAATGAGCCATAATGACTTCTGTCAGATCTCCCCGGTACATACATGACACAGTTGTTCGAGAGATATTCAACTTAGTTACAATATCAGAAAAATGAAGTAATCTTTGCCACCAAAAATTATGCCTCATTCGAATACCGATAATTCACATACCATGTGAAGCCTCACCGATGTTCACACTGACTCAACTAATACCAGAGCACAATTGATATAGGTCTGAGAATTTCTATAACGTTACAAACTGGTAACCCATGGCTTTTGGCACGTAAGCGTGTATATGTAATAGAAGTGATATTTACTCAGTTGTAGTTCAACAGGAGATTAGAGTTAACTAGATAGCTAGATAGATTTTTTTTAATCATTTCGCTCTAATCAAGGCGATAATGCCGTTAAGATACAATGGGCTACTGAAACTGAAATAGAATTAAAACACTTTCGAAGGAATTGGTAAACCCAATCCTAAATAGAAAAAAACAAGGATAAACCTCTACTCCTGTTCAAAAGACCGGCGAGTAGTGTGGACCGGACACTAAGCGAACCTATCTACTCCTATTGAAGAAAGAAAGAATAGATAGATAGATAGATAGATAGATAGATAGATAGATAGATAGATAGATAGATAGATAGATTGTTACGTAGGTGCAAAGTTTCCCAACGTTAGAGAATGAATACACTGTTGGAATACACACACACACATATCTATATATGTATATGTGTGTGTGCGTGTGCGTGTGTGTGTATGTGTGCATGTGTGTACGCAATGTATGTATGCATGCGTATGTATTAAGCTGCTGATTTGAAATCGTACAGAGGGGGGGCACTTTAAAAGGGAGGGGTGCAATATCTTTGATAGTGAATGTCTCAGGCAAGCTTAAATCAAGCGTAACTCTGATTTGCTAACTAATATGCAGTTTTGGAAATGCGGTGTACGTGTGTGTGAGTGCATACTGTTGTCGAGGGCAGGTTATGTAAACCACCTGAGAGGTCATCATAACCAGAAGCTGTGTTGTTTGCAACAAGATTTGCAGATCATCTGGACTGAAAAGGCACATGGCAGTACACAGGAGAGTTGCGTAGCATGCAGATTTAATCAACCAAGTCAAGGATACAGAGTTTATATATGCCTTATACGCCTGATCCCGATGAAATCGATTAGCTGGTTTCAAAAGTTATCTTAGAGGCCAAAAATACCAAAATAAGACGTGTCATTACAAGTGTCGCGAAGGTGGCAGGATGAGGCACTCACAGTATGCTCATGTGGGTCTGTTCATATGTGTACAGGCAAGTCAAGTATCTCACTTTGTAATTATTTTTGAAATTCTTTGTCTCCTAAAATTCTTTTTGATTAGAAAAATCAAATGCTGATATAAAGTGTGTTCCAATAACTTGGACTAATTTTAAATGTGAATTAAGTTTAAGCGTCTAATAATATTTTTCTTTTTTTTGGCCGATATTTGGTCGATATTATTTTTCACGCATAATTGCCATGACTTAAATAACATTATCCAATAGAGAAATAAATAAAATTTCACCAACGACATTGATTTTATACTACTGATTTTGATCTGTCTTAATAAAACGCCCTTTATAATGTAATGGCTTCTTAGTGTTTACAACAATGTTTACAAAAGATTCAATATTCATAATAAATATTTTATTTTAATAAATTTTTGGTTTTTTTTTTTTTGGTTTTTTTTTGTCTATATATCTTATTCTCTCCATCTGTAGCTCGATCGGTTAAGAGCACGTCAGGCAAAAGGACGGTTCCGTATAGGATACAGGTTCGATTCCTGTCGGAGGATGAATATTTTCTATGAAAATTTCTCGGACATTCAAGCCGGTAAATGTTATAAATAATGTTTATAATAAAACAGAGCATTTTCTTAAATATTTGTATCTATAAAAAGAATGTATTAACATAAAAATATTTTTTTTTTTATTTTTATATTTTTATATATATATATATATATATATATATATATATATATATATATATATATATATATACTCGACTCGACCTGACCTCATTTTAGACGACAAGGGTACAGCAAATCAGTACATAGACTAATCGAACATATGATTTGATTATAGTGGTAAAGGCTTGTGCAGAAACAAGTGCACTTTTTGGATTAGACGAATACAGAGAACTGATACACAATGTGCCACAAAATCCCCAAACAACCCTTCTCAAATAAATTCAGAATTGGCCTTCTCCTAGACTGATGGTCATTCAAGGCTATAGGACCCTGTCAGTCCTGCTATTTTCCCATAGCCGGGGGAGAAGAGATAGACTCATAGCTTTCCCAAGGTAATTCGAACATCGCCCTCCGATTCCTCAGTCCGGGGATTGAACTCAGGGATTGGAGGGCGGTGTTCAAATTACCTTAATCGACTTCTTCGATTTGCCATGTCCTGTCAGGACTATTTTTTTACAGGGATGTTCACCCTATACAATACCAGAGAGCCACTCAAGGTAGAACGTTACAGCTTAAGAAGTACAATTTATGCGGATATATGAGAAAGATAACAGCTAACCCTCGACTTGAACAAGTTAAGATTATAGTGATTGGAGAAGCATCCTCTTGGGAGTCGGTTCCACGAAAAAATGCAATTTTCTCTTGCAAGAACGAAAGCAATTTTAAATTTAAGGAGTGCTATAAGTTAAATAACTTATCGATTCTATTAAAAGCCGAGCTAGACTTTTTCATCATGTACTCGTAAATACAAATAATATTGAATTTTTATACTATTGTTCCCCTAATAAACGGCTCAAGAGCCCCTGAAGGTAGAGAGTTACTGACTGAAGTTACTGTAGGGGCGGGATAAGACGAAGACGATGTAAGTGCAGATTATGAGGATATGTAGGATAGATAACGCTTGAAAGGTACGTAGTGATCAGGTAAGCATTCTCACGGAAGTATGATGATTTTCTAAAGGTACCTTAGATGAGGTATAAGGCCGAAAGTATCGAGCACCCAATGAGGACCGAACTCACTACTCAGTCGTAATTCTTCTAACGAGACAAGTTTGCTAACAATTTCACCACGCCGAGGTGCATCCTCTCAGGTGTATGTTCCACAAAGTAACAGAAGCTGTCTGAACGAAACTTCTTCCTTACTAATGGAATACGAAGGGAATGAAAATGAGTCGGCCCTGTGTAGGTGACATGGTAAGTCCTAAATGTGAAGACCTGAACTGGTGGAACTAAAGAAATGTAGTTCCTTCGAACATTTGCCATGTAACTAGCAAAAGAGTAGCGAGAGACTAACACCGTTTTGTCTATGAGGAAAGGAGTTCTTTCTTTTTATGTGCCACGTCCATTCAGGACGTAAACAATCATGGCTCTTCACCTTCCTCTATCCCTGGCAGCTCTCAACAAGTTCCTTACCTCTGCTTCCTCCCCCAGACCATGTTCTGTCATCCACTTGCCCACCAGGTATGTCATGTGTTGTTTTCCCTTGTCTCTCTTCCCCTCTATTCGTCCCGTGAGTATCAGATTCTCCAGGCCCTCCTTCCTTATTATGTGTCCCAGAAACTTCAGCTGCCTCTTCCTGATGTTAAGTATAAGCCTCCTCCTTTTTTTGCATCCTCTCTAAGACCTCATCGTTGCTCACACGCTCGGTCCATGATATCCATAGCATCTTTCTGTATAACCACATCTCCGTCGCCTCGAGTCTCTTTGAGGAAATCGTTCAACATTCTCTACCGTAAAGAAGGAAAGATGTCACGTAACAGATCAGTATTCTTTTCTTTGTTAGCAAAGAAATCCTCCTGTCTCGCAATAATCTGCTGAGCTTTCGGAATGCGTCCTCGGCCATCCCAATACGTCTACGGATCTCAGTCTCGCACTTACCGTTCTCTGTCAAGACGCTTCCCAGATATTTAAACTTCCGCGTCTGCTTGATTCTAGTGCTGCT